CATTACAATACAAGAAATTGTATACAAGGAACCATCTTAATTAATTTAGCTTTAAAAAAGCCACATATATCTAGACAAATATATAATATAGTACCTAGTCTTTTGCGTCGTGAGATAAGAAAATATTTTATTTTTATTTAAATTCCTACACCTATGAAAAATCACATTATTATTAGGGGCACATGGAGGCGCGCGGTTATATTTTATTAGAAAATAATATTTCATGTATTTCTTATCGAAGTAAATTTTCATCATCAAAAGGTCATTTGCATGAATTCATTCATCATTCGCTTTATTTATGGGTTGTAGAGATAATGTAGTGAAATTACAGGATAAGAGGCATGATATCTTAGTTTCCGGAGAACTAAAATATATCAAAATAGTAGGGTATCATGTAACGTATTAATTTATTTTATCTTCAGGCTGTTTTGACCATATTTTAGTTGAATAGTTTAGTTAATGTTAGTAAGTATAGACACACATTACACGACAATTAAATTCAGATAAAATAAACAAAACCGCTGTGCAATTCCATCGGAAATTGCACAGTATACGCACAGGCCAGAAAGCTCGCAATTATGCTCAGGATGCTGTTGGTACTGGCACACATTTCCCGCACTAAAAACTACACGGTACTCCGCGAACATCCCTGATGCACTGCAGAATCCTGACCGTGAATTGATAGGGCATTAACACCCTGAATGCGTAATATAGTAGGTGTAGATAGTGCTGTTTTATTTAGGCGATGGTTAACTGTTACCAGGTGGATAGTCAGCTTATTTGCTAGTCAATTGCATATAAAAAACAAATATGGAACCCGTACAAAATCGGGGCAAATTGTAAGTACATAAAAACAATGTCCGCCATTTTCATCAGCCCTTAGATCGCACCCGAATTCCGAAGCTGTCAACTCCACGCCATTGTTTAAATGTTTTTCAGCCTGCATAGTTTTTATTTTGAGTTAATCGTAGCATTTTTTTCGAGTCGAAACATGACAGCGTAACCACATCACGTTTTGTCCCATAGACCTTTCGTAAATAGCTTTGGCAAACGAGCGTCCAGAAAGGAAATTATACATGTTGATAATAATATAGCAAGTAAATTTAAAATGGTATTTGTACTAGCTAAAGCAAACAAACTGTTTGAATACTCGAACTATTCAACTAAAAATGAAAGTAAAACAGTATATAATAAAATAGTCTGTAAATTTCCTGAAATTGTCCAAAAAATCTGAGAATTTTCTTAATTTTTACCTTTTTCTTATACCTTCTTCTTGTACCGATTTCATTAAATAAATTTTATTATTAAATGGTGAAGTAATTCTTAGGTCATTTCACGAACAAGGTAAATAGGGATCGTAATTTTATATATAAATAACAATAAGGAAGAAAAAATAGTACAATTTTAATATATATACGTTTATTTTAATCCATAAAACATAGGATACTAATACAATCATACTTAGAAATACAAATGTCTGTAGCGTTCGAGAATTAAACCAACGACCATCGGAAGTAAGACTAAGTAAACCGTTATACTATAGAGGTCGTCAAAAAACAAAAACTAGAAGAAAAGATTCAAAAGTCGAAATGAAACTACAATAAGTCAAAAGTCAAGCTACCGTTGTGATGGACATAAACCCGTGTGCTCTTACTAGTGCGGACGTTATTGTATTAGAATGGTATGATAATCCTAACAAGATTAGCATAGAATCAATAATATTAGCAAAAAGTTATTCAAACATGCTAACTTCATAGACAGACTTCTTTGTTAATATTTTTCTTTGCTCCGTCTCTCTCAGTGACTCTTTTCTTCACTTATAATCTAATGTGAATTATTACAGTTTAATTCTACGAAATGATTAATATTAATATAGATATCGGATGCCGCCATTTCTTTCAATAAACTTCCTTATGTTTTACTTAGAAAGAATGAGCTACCCATATCAACTATATTTATTGAAGTATAGAAAATTAAAATAAGCCACTTTTAGTCAATTTTAAACAGATATATGCGCGTCCGTATTATATTTTTGTAAAATTAAAGTAGTTTTTTACCATTCTTTGTTTATTTCTCTCAGTTGTTCCTTCTAATTTGAATATTCGTGTGATAAAGTATTCAATATCTCTTTTTTGACATATGTTAAAAATAGGATAACTCTACGAATTTAACATCGTTTAGTCTTATACTAACTAGCTGTTACCATCGATTTCGTCAGCGAAGACAGTTCGTCTTTTTATTAAATAAAATTAGTTATGTGAGTGAAAATCCCGTAAAACTTAATCATATGCCGTCTTAGAGATTAGCAATAAAAACAAACATACAGACAAAATTTTCAAAAAATTATTTTTATGCATTTAGTGAAAATTTGTTAATTTTATATTACAAAATTTAATTCAATTTTAAACTATACAATGGTATAGTATATAATATACACAAGTCTCTTTTATCTAAAAAAAATAGGTTTAATTCACAAACTATGTTTTTAATATAATAATTCAATGAAGCCCAAAATTATAATTTCGCCCTGTTCATAATAAGTATTTAAACATGTACGTCACGTAAGTACTAGGTAAATAAATTATTCTTCCCTCATACAATTCTATAGGAGCCGCTGGAATTCCTGCATATGTTTTCATACTTGTATATTGTATTAACAAACAATCCCTCTCGTGTGGTATTTTATGAATATGTTATATTTATTCGCACAATAACTATTGTAGTTCGAGAGCATTGTAGTATAATACACTATCCCGACCTTAGACCCTAAAACCACGACGGGAAATCAGTAATTTAAAGTCACGACTATGAAGATGACGACAAACTCATAAGTTTAAATCTCGCTAGTAGGAGGAAAGGGATGTTAGCAATGTACCATGTCAGATTAACCTCTACTAGGTTCCTCTAGAAACCATCGTGATAAATTCTTAGTGAATTTACCAAAAAACACTCTTGTCCGCAGAATACAAGTACAAATATTGAGCGGCAAAAATAACTAACTTTAATAACCATTGTTGATTTGAAAATCTGACTAACACGCGTAGTCCCAAAGCGTTGACTCCAACAATTATTTAAAAAATAATATTAATAATTTTCAGTATTGTTGTGTTTGAAATCGCTGGCTGCTGGCGTGTTATTTCGTTGAGTACCGAAAAGCGCCTATTGTCTTTGGTTTATTATTTTAATAACGAAGCAATTTCCGAGCAAATTGAAGTAAAATTATCAAATGAAATTATATTGTAAGTATTGATAAGGAATATAAACTGTCATTCATAAAGACACAATGGTCTATCAGACTGAAACTGAAGAATGCACTACAAATATAATCATATGAATATCTACGTAGTTAGATACAAAATTGTATGCTTCAGATATTAACTTTGTGCTGTTGTACACATTACGTGAAGGCGTCGAATTATCGGGAGCTCGTAAATAAAATTTGTCTATAATGTGTACAATTATAATCACACAGGGCATAGGAGAGATCTTTGGATGGATTTTTTAAGGTTATAGAAGAAAGTTGTTTTTCTGCTTGATTACTATCCTAATTTGGCAAGGACAGTAGTATCTACAATTTATACCACTGTTGATCTTATCTTAACATAGCTACTTATTATATAGATGAACAAAAATATTATTAGAAACTTACACAGAAAAATGTAAATATAAATGTTTTTACAATTAGAAACACTAGACAAGTTAACAATAGATTAAGACAGTATAATTATCATTTACAAATATGTGCTATTCTTTACGAAATTCAGGGTATCTCTATTCCTGAAGATTAAGGTGCCTTGTATTCAGTAATTTCACAATCTGAAACAGCCATGCAAGTACACGTTGGGGTGCAAAGAAGATAAATTGAAGTAATCCCACAATGTGGTCCCATTACTGGATGCAATCTCATCCTATTTTATGAACTCGTTCTAAAATGTCATCTCCCTAAGCGAGAATTTTCTAAAGGCTACATGCGGTTGCTTACTTTAAATTTGAGGTGGTGCTAACCAACGGCACATAGGTAAGGAAATTCAATCGGGAATCTAGATAAATATAAAGATTACAACATAGATTCTTTAAACACCTACTAAGGTACTTTTCAAGTATGAAAGATACAGAGAAATACTTACGGTAATAGAAGACAAATCTATTTATAAAAAACAGTTATTCCGTTCTCTTAAAATCTAATTTATGAGAACGATATTACTGTTTTATTACAGAGTGGGCAGCAAAGGAGCTTATAGTATACGGTGAATGATTACTGTCACCACTGAGTACTTTCAGCACTAAGGGAATTGCAGGTGGGTTCCACATCGTTTATAGAGGAGGACATTTTTATAATACGTAGGTGAATGATTGAAATACCATAGGTGTAACATGCGCATTCAGATCCTAAACGACATTGAAATGACAAACATGCCGATGCTTCACCTGAAGGCAAATAGTAACTATCACACACACGAACAGCACCATGAACCAAATGAAACCAATCATGCAGTGCCATTCCTAAGGACTAAAATATGATCCCTCTTATTTTTTAATTTCACAACCTAATCTGACCCTTTCGAAATACAGCTTACAAACAAGCTGAAATATGTGAGACAGAGATTGAAAGTTGAATACACGAAGATGATTTTCTGCAAAGTCTGCATAGAAGTGTATCACCTGTTTGTATAGTATACTAATGACATGATTTTACGCACATAAGTTGTAAAGTATTCCAAATAAATCAATCCACGAATACTACTAAATTAGTGGTTTCTCTTCATCCCATACGAGCTACAACAGAAGTAACTTGAAAATTTTTAAAAATCCTCAAAATCATTATGACTAAATTTTTATCTAATAAGTATATTTAATGAAAAACATGGACTTCTTAATATTTTGCATTAAAACAGTAAGACCATAACTCATTTAATATATGACGATTATTAGTTTAGTATACTAAGTGACACTACATTGATTCTTTAATGTATAATCATGCATTTTGCACATAAATTTACCTGTGGTAAGCTGCACAATAATGCTATCATCCAAGCAAATGACAACATCATTTTACTCCTCTTTCGGGCGATTGCTAGCCGAAGCGGATAAAGTATAGCGAAAAATCTGAAACAAGATACATTTATATCAATATATTTTATCTAACTAAATAATAATGCTTATAAAATAAATTAGAAATATAGCAAAAGATAATTTATTGTGTTAGATTATTTATCCAGACATCTCAATGAATTATAAATTAATACGAACTTTTGACATTCATTTTAACAATCAGGGTCGTAGAGTACATTTTTTTGATAAATAAACACCCCTGGCAGTGTGAAATGAAAAAAAAACATTTTTATACTTATGTATGAAGTACGATATGCCAATAACATGACAAACCTTCAAACATTTTAAATATATACATATATATATATATATATATATATATATATTATAAATGTTACGTAACGAGTACAGTACCTGTACCGAAGTACCAAGTCGGAGCTTTGTATTTCTTGTGGTTACTATAGATATCTAGTTACTCATATGCTAATAAGTTATATTGTATCCAAAAGTAATAAGTATTTTTACGATATTGTAATAAACAGTATCACTAGGTACTTTTGGTACCTAGTAGATTCAGGTACAAAATTTTTCGTTTCTTTTATAGGTGCATTAAACCCATAGCTAAGATTTGATCCAAGCTCTTTCGACCCTGATATAAGATTAGTACAAAAGAAAAGATTAGAGAAATCTAATGAATTAATTCTTTCTTCTTCAGTATGAGGTAGGCCACCGTTTAATATATGCATATCCAATTTGTTTTCACTTTATAGAATTCGCGTCCGTCTGCGACAAAGTTTTCCTGTGGTGGTCACTATATTCATTGAAAGATCTGAATGGAATGGCTTCACTCCAGTAAATACTTGAATTAATCAGTTTTATTGTAAACAATGCAAAACCTAGTGAATTCAAAACTAATTGCAACTCGAAACACTATGTTACACTCAAAACTAATTACTGACGTTTCGTATAATATACATGAATAGGCCAGCTAAGGTTACGAGTATTCGAATATAAAATCAATCACGAGCACGTAGATTTTTTATGTGATTTTTATTAGGTAATGTAATGGCAAAACCTCTAAAGGTCTACCTGATGGTAAATGGCAACTATCGCCTATACCATAGGTACAATACCATGAACATCACATTATCATGTATTGTCACAGGTATCCCTTATACTTTGCCATTCTATAATTTCAAGGAGTCAATATGGATTACTATAAAATATGTTTGAGAAAAATAATCACGCTTACGACTTCATACAAATCCTGCCTCGGTAACAATTTAACATATAATCTTTTACCGTCTACGACAACCGTTCACCAGTTTTCTAAATCTGATTTCAGTGACTATAATGCCATCTAGTTTGAGTGATATAACTACCACAATATATTTTTACTTTATTAATATAATTTATGTTTCTAAACTTGAAATAAATATTAAAGATTAAATAATTATGATATTAAATTAATGTTTTATAGAAGTTTGATATAATATGTTTATTTCGAGTATAAGTTCTGATTTGATCATGACAGTACTATTGGGACAGTCCAGTTCGGTGTAAACGCTCGAAGTGAAAAGTACACACAAGTGAAAGGAGAAATGAATAGTCTTCGTATATCGTTGCTATTATCGCTCCGTAACAAATCATAATACAAATTTCTTTAACAGAACTCTTGTGAAAGTGAAACTAGCTGAACTTGACCCAAGAAACCTACAAACTGCTCGGGTCACATGTCCAATTCAATGCGAAAAGTTCGAAGTACCAAAATCCTTGGTGTTAAGTCATCAGTTTCCAGACAATTATTACCAAGTTTGGAGTAGATACAAGCTTTATAAATTAATTACTGGATATTTACAAAAACTCAATACTGCTTACAAAAGTATAACTAATCTGCAAATAGAGTTCTTGTTTATGTACTACTATTGTAACTGCCAAATACCAGTTGCTGAGACACAATTAACCAGTTTCGCATCTTCGCATTCCTTTAGGAATTTACTAATAATAGTTATAAGTATAATCTTTAATTATCAGACACCAGAAGTTTCGGCAATATTTTGGTGAATCAGTATCCAATGTCAATCTACATTCATAAATATCGTCCTAAAATGTCTTAAATTAAGTAATGTTGAATATAGGTAGTATTTCTTAATCCCATTAAAAATTCTACTAACTTCTATTTAATTTATAAGAATTGATATAAGTATGTGCTATTGCACTAATTATGAATTAATTAATTTCTACAAACTGGGAATGAAACCAATCAATAATACGTACATACTCCTACTTAAATCATATCTAATCAATACTATACACACAGGTCATTCCCATATTTTAAAAGTCGAAACGTCTTTCATTTGTATCCGCCAAGTCTCGCCAAGAAAAGGTCAATCGTCAAAACAGTTGACATTTAAAAAAAGCACTCAAAGCCGCGTATATGATACGTATATTTTAATTTAAATTTTCTAAACTTTTAATTTGCCTTCAAGTTTTTCATGTGAAACGAATCATCCTTGGTACTAATACGCATTCAATGTAACGCTTTTATATTTTTCAAAGCCGCTAACAACGCAGCATCTAATAGTATACTCCTATCTCCACCACTGCAGAATATTTTAATTAGAAGTCACCAACTTTATTTTATACTACTGCGTTAAATTAATCAAGATATTACACTAGCTGAGCCCGCGACTTCCTACTTGTATGACTATGTAGTTTGTAAAATTGTATGTAAAACTAACACTAAACATTAGTGGAAGTCGCATTCAATACGGTTAAGACGTTTTGGGCTACCTGACCTGTCCTCATTTTCATCTTATGATCCCCCATTTGTTATACCTATCGTTATCCCGCCAGAGTACATCGTTAACATAGGCGAATGAATCATATCATTATCATACATAAAAAAAATACCCAACCTGACCGATACTAACCATCATACTTAATTTGGAAAGGTAAAAAACATGGAAATTAACATCCGGGCCTAAGTGTACTTATTTGGACTATACCCCTAGCATAAGACCCTAGCTAGACGACGGCCCACCCTTGTAAACAGCGGTGGGGAGATAGGCCAAATAGGAATAAAAAAACCATCATACTTATGAATACAAATGTAAGTGTCGTGCTAGAATCGAACCCGCGACCATCGGATGTAACGCGATGTACTAAACCGCTAAACCAAGGAAGTCGACAATATTTATAACTACATAGATTTAATATTCTCAAGTGCACATCTCAAGATCTATTGGGTCTACGTTAATAGAATTTATTTCGTGAATATTATTAATTCATTAGTGGTAATGAATTTGTACCCCTGAATATTAATCAGCTCTATATTAGAAGTCAAAGTTGGCTTCGAGTGGGTTTAAATTTGATTTACTAAATGCAATAAAGGTAAGTGTTGTAACAATTTCCTTACAGCAGCCTTGAGAAAATCGTGACCTAGTTTTAGTTTAAAACGATTGTGAGATCAAATCCGACCGACATTAAAAACTTCAGAAATAGATTTTCAATTCAATTTTATATTACATTTCTTACTAACTCTCCAATAATGTATAACACTGGTAACTAATAAACTTAAACAGTAAATTTTAAGTCATGCCCTGCGCTGCCACACTGCACTGTAATGGACAACATAACTGCCTAATTAATTTAAAAAATGGGATAAAGTTCAATTGCCAGGTCCGAATTAAGTATTTGCGATATATTTTTTTAATTTATTAGAACTGACAAACTGTAATACAACATTATATAGACAATACAGGTGACAAGGTTGTATATATACAAATGTATTACCAATGACATTTATCACAGTTTTCTAAGAAAAAAAAATATGTATTAAAAATAAATCAGTTGACTATGCCTGTCTACTATATATAGAGATATATGACCATTCTGACTACACTAACGTGATAATATGACTCGTTCCTTCCGTGCTGAATATACATGTTTAATCTAACGATACTTAGACGATTTAGTACAAACCTAAAAACGCTACTTCTAGCGTATACTAATTTGTCTACGTCTGTCTCACCTATTTCAATCGCCTAGCATTGTACGCTGTTTCAGTTGAATGGTGAGATATGGCAGTGAAATTGCAGGTTATGATATCTTAGTCCTCCGAAATGGAAACCCATGATGTTAAGTTTTGACGTGACATCCGTAATGCTACATATGTTTGTAAGCGTCTTTTTCCACTTAGCATAAGGTCACCAAATTTCGATATCGATGAAAAAAACATATCTGATGTAAAATTACATTCGTCCGCTTGTTTTCCTATGTACAAAAAAATACGTATTTTCATTACAAAATAGATTGTAATATACGCAGAAAATAAGCTAATTGTGAACTTATACTTGGTAATAAAATCGAGTGGATCGTTCTAAATGTTTTTCATATTAAAAGTAGGTAATTATTTTTTAAAGTACGTATTATTTTTCGTAACTTACTAAGCCGCTTTTAATGATACACGTGTTGTAGCTGTAATCTCATTATAATGTATATTAAAAGCACTTAATAACATACATATATGTTATCATCTGATCTGTGAAAAGAATGTGTTGCGAAGTACTTAACCTTTTTTTCAATAATATTGCTAATAAGAAGCCAATTAAGAGGTGCTCATCTTATGGAAATTCGTAAATAAATTTTATAATAAGAAGTTAAAACAATTACCTACTCGAATTTCTGAATGATTTACTGCAAATCTAGTAAAGTCTTTATTTAGGTTTACTAAGAATTGTTATTAGTATTTACCGAAACTACATTTATATATAGTAGTAGATCTAAGTGTAACAACATATTTTTCACAATTAAACACCGCAAACCATAAACAATCTGTTTTTATCCATCAAAAATGGATAAAAACAGATTGTTTTTATCCATTTCCTACAAACTGTAGCAATGATTTAATGAAAAGAGATGAAAGTGTTTAACAGAAAGTGAACACTATTTGAATTGACGAAAACGAATTTTTCGACGTCAGATGGTATCAATCTATTCATATCATATATCAATCAACTAATTCGAGAGGTTGATACTGATATAAATGTTTA